GCAGGACATCTTTTTTATGTGGTCGTTCAGTGTGACTCTCCGAAGAAACACAGATTTTCGCTATTTTTTTAATATTGAAACTAACTAATCCGACCGGATTTTTTTTTATTAATAAATACATTCATCACGAATACAAAATGATTTTTTAATATTTATTTATTTGGTGTATAATAGTTAAATTACACGTAAAACAGAGGTCATATACGATGCTTCCATAGCGCGACAGAGAATGACGTTAAAAAGTCTCCAAATTCGAGCTAGATGCCTTCAAAACTTTTCCTTTAAGAGTGAAAACCGTTTTTAAAAACACAATTTTGAGATATAATCGTTTCAAGATTGGAGTCGCTACGTTCTCCACTCTGTTCCCTTTCTACAAAAAACGCTGCAGCGACCGTAAAAATTTGAATTTCGATTTAAAAATTAGAGAAAATGTTTATTACAGGCTATATTATCTGATAATGCAACAAAAAAGTCAATTTTTCGGTAGTTTTACACTGAGACGATTTTTTAAAAGCACACTCAACATACGATTTATAGTCTGAAGAAGAAACAATTCYTGACGATAACGAAGTTATTACTTCGGATCAGCTAGAAAACAACACAATTTGTATATACATTGTTGAAGTCGCTATAATTGTGAAACTCTTATTCCAGTTACCACTAAACAACATGAATTAAATAACAGCAAGACTGTTGAGTTTGCTCAAAAAATTAAAAAATATGCACCGAAACAGCTATTACAGAGTATAACGATGAATGAACTTTTTGATTCAATTTAGTTTTAACTGAATAAATAAACCTAATTACAAATTCAAATTATGCTGTCGTATGGTGTTACTAGTCAAACATCATATGGTGGTGATTAATAGGGTTCTCGAATTTCTTGATCGACAAATATGGATCGATTTCCTTTTCATTTAATAAAATATTTTGCAAAGTTCAATAGACTTGAAGTTAAGCACAACCAAATTTGTCTCTTTCAAACCTGCAACCCACTGAAATCCTTCGGCTCGTCAAGAAACATTGCACAGATTTTAGCATCATGAGCGCTACCCTCATGACTCACTACAATATGTCGATTTCTGCATTTGTGGTCACAATCTACTTAGTTTCTTAGAGTATTGACTATTTTTAGAAAATTACGTCGTGCGGTTATCCGCCAGATCCGCCAGATTAACATCTGTTCCATCCACTTTGAATGTTTAGGAAACTAGTAAGTTCCTTTCAGCGGTATTTTTTTTTGCGTCGAATACTTTCAAAGCTGAAGTGTTTTCGTCCATTCGGACGACATGACTTAGCTAGCGTAGCCGCTTTCTTTTAATTCTCTGAACTTTTTCAATGTCGTCGTATTTCTCATACAGCTCATCGTTCCATCGAATGCGATATTCGACGTAGCCAACGCGAGAAGGACCATAAATCTTTGGTACAACTTTTCCCTCGAAAACTCGCAACGTTGACTCATCAAATGTTGTCATCGTCCATGCCTCTGCACCATATTATCAGTACGGGAATAATGAGTGACTTATAGAGTTTGGTTTTTGTTCGTTTTCCGAGAGGACTTTACTTCTCAATTACCTCCTAATTCTGTCTGGTTTACGTAGCTGGAACGGATCTGGATTTTTATAAGGGTAAGAACTGTCAACTCCGTAGCATTTCTCCAAATTACTTTCGGGATAATTGCTCCCGCTACATCAACAATAATTCATATTCTTATAAATAGGGCTCCGAAGTTTTCTTTTGGGTGCTATAAACTTCGTGGCAAACCTCTAATATACCCTTTTCAGAATAGGAAGAGAGACAATTTTAGAAAAGCATCCCTAAAACTCTTAAGGGGTAGTCAGAATTTTTCAGTCCCAGGATAATCTATTTATAAAACTATTTTTTTTTATCCGATTGATTTTAGATGAATCTCCAAAGAATCATGGTTATCACCGCAAGGAACTTTTTTTGGAACTGTGTGAACACAAACAACTTTGACTTTGGAAATAAATTTTTTTTTTAGTTTTCGTGACTTCAAGTTAACACATTCTATAATAATGCCATATTACTACTTTTGTAAAATAACACGATTTAATAGCAAAAAAAAATACTGAAAATTCTATTTTTTTCGTGCTTCTGACTACCCCTAACCCCTTATTCAAATAGATATCGGCTGATAGTGAGATTCTGCAAATCAATATAGTTCTGTGCAACTAAAACTTATAACATTTAAAACAAAAAAAAAAAAAAACATATTTGCTCTTCTCGAAAAACAGTTCTGAATAAACTAGTGTTTTTAATAAATACCACTCTAAAGGGTCGTTCAACTAGCTACTAAGTGTTTTAAATAAAGCAATTAATTAATAAAAAGGTTAATTTTTTTTTAATCAAAATAATTTTTTGGCGATTAGCGCTTGATTTTATTAAGTAATTCTGTGGAATCGCTTCTCATTCCTTTTATGTCCTTTCGTTTAATTTGTCGAAGTTATATATTTTGCAATGCCTTTTTCGCATAGGAATTAAATTAATTTATTAATTAAATCTTATTTTACTAAAATAATTCTTAATCGAATTTAAATCGAGTAGAAAATGGAATGTAACTGCGCGTTGTTATCCACACTTTAAGTTTGGCTGTTAACTCTGCGGGTTGCTGCTGAGGTTATAAATTGGAGTTGTAATTTATAATTTTTAATTTTGAGAGTTGTACACTGATAAAATAGCAATCAGCTACACGCATGCATTTATGTGCAGCACATATGCACCAAAAAATCAACAATACATATTCGCATACATGCAAACATACAGGTTTCAATAATTACTGTCTAATCAGATTCCGGGAATCCGCTCAGTACATTTAATACTGTATAGTCGAAAAAGTATTTTTGCATTTCAAGTCAAACTTCAACTTATTTTTTTATATTTCTATTAATAAATAAAAGAATGGAATAATAGACATTATTCCATCAAAGTAAATCGAAATTTCCGGAACGGAAGCGAGCGAACCATTGTTGTGCTACACGAACCGATACAGCATCGTCTCCTTAAACTTCACAAATTTCATTGGTGACTTGCGTGGCATTCTTTCCTTTTTTATGCAAAAATTTTAAAATGTAGCGAATTTCTTCATTATTTTCACTCATTTTTGCACAGCTGTAACTTTTTTTATCTTCCCCTTTTTAACAAAGGCTTAAAACCTCACCTTTTCAATACTATATGGTATGACATAATGTGATTGGCACCACTGGAGATATACGACTGCAAAGACAACTATTGACAAAATAAGAAAAGTCTTTTTTGACTACCCAGTATATCATAAATAAAACAGCTGAATCCGATTCGAGTAATCAGCACAGTACTTTGAACATAGAAAACAGCCATATACGCAAAAGTATAAATAAATTTAATTTTAGAAACAGTTTATTTCGTAGGGTCCGGTCATAAAATAAAAACATCTTTTTGTTTAGATTAAAAATTTTTAAAAATTATATATAAAAGTTTGGAATATGTAAAAAACTCAGAATGCAATATTTCTCATTAGATAGTGTATGTATCAATTTTTTGAATTAGTTTTGCGGGGATATCAAATTCGGACAAATCGACACAAAGGCAGATCATGCTGTCAAAAGGAGTTTGGGTCGGTTTTAGACAGGGGTCGAATCGTTACATCCGTGAACGTCACGTAAAAGTMTGTATTTCGTATTATGACACGTGATCGTAACGCTTAAATCGAAATCTGGCATGATGGCGTACGTGAGCGAGTTTAGAAACGTATCCGTTCGTCCGAACCGTCATTCGAACGCAAACTACCGATCGCAACAGACGAATTTATTTAAAAATGTGAGTATATTGTAAATAATTTATAATTTTAGAAAATTTTTAATAATAAATAATAATAAGGACAAATTATAATCAACTAAATCCTACACAAAAAGATGTAATGGCGGAATTCATATCAGATCATCCATGCTTGGCAAAAAATAACTTTCCAAACTCTGCGCAAGGAGAATTACTTCCCATAAGTTATGGGAGGAACTGGCGAAGCAGCTTAATGCCATGGGGCCACCAGTTAAAGATGCTAAGTTGTGGAGGAAGGTATGTATATAATTTATATGCAATATACTTTGATAAAACATTGATTTTTTATGATTTTTTTTAGGTTTTTGCTGAACAAAAATACCAAGCAAAAAAGAAGCTTTCCTTCAATAAAACATCGAAGCAGCGAACTGGAGGAGGGCCCTATAACGAAAAACTGATCACTGTGACGGACGAATTGTTAACCTAAGCAGCTGGACTCGAAGCTTGCGTAGAGGGCATAACAAATCTTTCTGCATTTGGAAATAACCCAACTACGCAAGCTTCGACATTTACCGTTAACTGTGATAGCAGGAGGCAAACCCTTTCCCCAGCTCCTTACCATTCCCAACAACTTCTAGACAGTCGCTACTCGATACAGCAACAATAACGCCAACAGAAAAAACGCAAACCGAGAAGAAAAAATAGGAGTGACGAAAAGTTGAAGTTACTTCAAAAAAACATGAAGTCGCTCTCAGCTTTTCAAAAAGGCATAGACCAGAAGCTTGAGAGGTTAGTAGCAGCACAAGAAAAAATGCTGGCACTACAGAAAAAAATGGTTGCTATGAAGATGGTAAAGCACCGCATCCAACAGTCGACACGGGAATTAGACCACGAAATAAAAAAATTGGAGCTCGAAATCTTACGAAGAAATTTATTTTAAAACTTGGTACACGAATGTAAATATTTTTAGTTTAAGCACTTAATGAATTTTTAGTTTAAGCATTTAATGAATTTTTTTATTTTATTTTATTTATCTATTTATTTATAATTTATTTTTATATATCATTTATTTATTTATTTTTGAATATTATTTATGTAAAATTTTAGAAATGTGATAAAAGCAACAAACGTGATGAAACGACTAATTAAAATAATAATAATGAATTTATGTGAACAAAATTTTTGTATTTCGGTTTAGAAAGAAGAAAAATTTACAAGGGTAACGAAATAGACATTTTCATCTTCAATGTATTAAAGAGTGCTGTATTTGATCTCTTATTGTTGGCCGATTGTGGTGAGGCGGTTCGCTACCCCGGTGTCGATATCCGTTGTTTGGTCAGATTCGCAATTCTGAGGATCATAATTTCTTTTCAATTTTATGCAGATGTTGTGTAATGCTGCACAAACGTTAGCAAATCTTGCCACTTTTGTCGGATGCTACCTTCTTCTCTTGCCATATCCTAAAATTCTCCAGCGTCCTTTAAAAATTCCGATAGTTCGTTCGACGATACCTTGGAACGACGATACCTTGGAATGAATTTCATTAAATATAGCTTCGCTTGCATCATTCGAAGCGTTTCTGTAAGGAGTTATGCACCATGGTTCCAATGGGTAGCCAGAATCCCCTATAAATAAAATCAATGTGGTAAAAAGAACAAACTGAAGATATATGTACCTAAAAGTCATGAATATTGACAGTTAATTGCCAAAATTTTGTAAGTGTGATCACATATGTATCTGACAATACAAATTTAACAAATATACATATATGTACATATATTCAAGAAATATATTATAATGGCAACTTACTATCATAGGGTTGATACTATGGTAGCCTTTTCTATTGAAGTACATGTGCTCGTTCACTGTGGGTTTTTGTAAGACGATGTGGGTACCATCAACGCACCCAATAACTAAAAATTCTTTATATTTAGTAATATAAATATTTTAGCTGTGAAGTGTATATTTACCTCCAGGAATTTTATGTTGGTGCACAAACCACTCTTTACACGTAAGGGAATCCTCTGGTGTAAACCGTATAAACTGCGGGCACAACTTCGCTTCCATTTCTTTAAGCACATGGGATGTCAGCTTCGAAACAGTGCTTTGACAAATCCCAATCAAATATTCACTGCCTACACTGTGCTGATATCCACCGCTAGCCAAATGTGAGAGCGTGGTTGCTAATTGTAGCACTGGAGGCACTGCTCTGACGTCAGACATATATTATTTAGGACATATTCAAAAGCCTCTTTAGTTAGACGAAATCGTTTTAAAAATCTGCAAAAAAAAATTTCGTTAATAAGGTTTCATGATTTGTTTTTTATATACCTACGCTGTATTCGGCAGTGCCAATGGATTGCTCCGATCTCTTAGTTGCCTCCGCACTATTTTTTCATCCCCATCACACTCACTAGAGCTCAAATAAAAAAACAAAGTCAGATCCATCTTSATATTCAACCATTTGATATTTAAACTAACAAATTGATTGAATATTTTGCAACAGTTTTGACAGTTCCACAGCTATTGTGACCTAAAAATACGATCCAAAGCAATGTGGAGTTTAAAAACTATTGTGAATTGAAAAGACATTACGATAGGTTTGCTATCGTATGTCATAATGCCAATCATCGYATACGATTGACGTATCACGTAATTTTCTTTCGTATGTTTGCCGATCCGTGCACGGATGTAACGATTCGACTCCAGGCTTCCATCCTTTAGTTGTTGTTAAATAAATGGGATTGAAGAATAAGTTTAGTATTGTTATACAACTTTTTTGTAATATATTATATAATGTAAAAAAATGTGAATGTTAGTAAACATAAAAATGTAAAATATAAGTGTAAAATTAATTTAAAATCACGTACTTGAAATAGTGGTAATTTTTAACTTTAAGCGGCAATATCTCGAAAACCATAAGTTTCCTCTATCCGACCATATCCATTTTATTCTAGAAATCCTGGAACGGTATTATAAAGTTTTAAAGATATGATTAGTGTCGAGTCTCTCCAAGACTCTCTCCGAGTCTTTTCCAAGATTTGGCGCTTGGTGAATATCTGGTCAGTTCTTGATTTTCCAGGTCGAAGCTACACTGATAAGGTACAATCAGTTTGTTTACGGTGGGCTTAAACCTTTCACAAAATACGCTAAATAGAACGATATATGCGGTGTTGAAGAGGTTTATCCCACGGTACTTGGCGCAGATTGTAAGGTCTCCCTTTTTGTGGATTGGGCATAGCACACTTAAATTCCAATCGTCGGCAATGCTGTCGTCCGTCTATATTCTACAAAGAAGCTCTTGCGTGCTCCTTCTCAGTTCTTCCCTAACGTGTTTGAATATTCGAACTTCTTCATGGTCGGGCGAAGGAACGTCTGCTCCATCGTTATCGTTTGGGGAATCGGATCCGCCATCTCCTGATGTTATGCCGTCATTCAGTAGTCTGAAGGAGTGTTCCCTCATTTTGAATTTTTGAGCACTACCTCTGTCGGGCACAGTTCCCTTAAAGTTGTTGATGTGTGCTCTCAGAGATCAGGAGTGCAAGTCGAAGTAGAAAATCGCTCGAATGTATGTTGTGATTGCAACTTCTCGACGTCGAACCTCCTTGTTTTGACGTTGTCGCGCGTTTTTGCTGCACAGAGACGGGTGCGAATCCTGGCTGCAGCAGGATAGTGGTCCGAGTCGATGTTAGGAGCTCGGTGAAGTCAATCAGCCTCAATCCATTTGGAAATATTTCCTCGTGGAGGCTGAATTTACCGACTTTTGTGCCAAAGATACCTTCCTTGTGAACCCTGGCTTTAAAGTCATCACTCATAGGTGAGCTCCAAGCGCTCATAAAAGGCATCTCTGGTCATATCGTCCTTCTCTTCCGTTGGGGCATGGGCGCAAATCAACGATATGTTGAAGAACTTCGTTTCAATGCAGATTGTGGCTGAACATTCATCCACCGGGGCGAATCGGCGACTGAGTCTCTCGCTCACCGCGAATCCCACACCGTATTATATAATATATAAGTTTTTAATATATATTTATTTGCAATCTATCAAATGACAATCAGCAAATTTTTTAAATACATTAATAGTGACAGGATTGATTGTTCTCCATTGAAACTAATCAATATATTCGTAAATTATTTATTTGCTTAAACTTCTTAAAACTACTTAAAATCTATATGGAAGATCCAAAATGTGAATTCGTTTTAAGCGTCTAACATCCATACTGTTGTCTAGTAAACTTATTGTCAGTAAGTTTTCATGATTAGACAATTTATCCAAATACTTTCGACAATATTTGCTGATTTCGTCTTTAATAAAAGGTATATTTAAGTCTTTATGGATTTCGAAGTTGCTCACGAACCAAGGAGCACTTACAATGCTTCTTAAAGTTTTCGATTGATATCTTTGGAGGATTTCAATGTTGGATATACTCGACGTACCCCATAACTGCATTGCATACGTCCACATTGGTTTAAGGATTGACTTGTAAAGTCGTACTTTATTTTCAAGGCTAAGTTGAGATCGCTGACCTAAAAGCCAGTACATTTTTTCAGTTTTAAATTTGAGTTGCTTCGTTTTTTCTTTTATGTGTATCTTCCAAGTGAGTCGTCTGTCCAAATAAAGACCAAGGTATTTCACAGTATCATTTTCAGGTATTATGGAGCCATTTAACGTTACGGGGGGACATTTCTCAGTCCTTAACGTAAACATTTTTAGAACAGATTTCTGTGTATTTACTTCTATCTTCCAATTCTTTAGCCATTTTTCAACAATATTAAGTTGTTCTTGTAAGTGAAGTGAGGCATCACCAGGATTAAAACTGGTGGCGATAAATGCCGTATCATCAGMATAAGTTTCTACCTCTAAGCCATTAGCGATCGGTAGGTCAGCTGTAAATATTGTATATAACACGCGGCCCAAGACGCTCCCTTGGGGAACTCCAGCGTCAATCAAATAAAGCTCAGAAAGTGCATCTTTTTCCTTGACATAGAACGCACGATTGCTTAAAAATGATGAAACCATTTCTTTATTTTATAAAGTAACCCTGGGTACCATACTTTATCAAATGCTTGTTTAACATCTAAAAAGACCCCTGCGCAGTATTGCTTACTTGTGRTAATTGCACTTGTAATAATTTTAATAATTCGATGACATTGCTCAGGAGTTCCATGCCCCCTTCTAAACCCAAACTGGTGTTCAGGTAATATGTCTTGGTCCTCTAAAACATGTAACATTCTCTTTAAAAATATCTTAGAGAAGGTCACCACCACTGTTTCAGTTGTGTTTTCATTATCTTTAATTATATAATATAATATATTTATAAGTAACAATAAAATCGCTTTTGAACCTAAAATTAAGAATGGACAGTGTTTCTAATTTCAGCACCCTAGTAAATTTTGTGAAAATTCTAATAAAGAAGTGGAAAAGATAATACGGACTTAACAGGAACCATGTCCATTATGAAATATAAAAATAGTTTTTTAATTTTATATTTTAAGAAGATTGACAGGATTAGTTTTTATATTCAATATGTAATTATGAAATATGATATGGATAGGAACTAAAGATTTAAGACAAGGATACAATCCAGTGTAGAACACCTAATAAAAAAGAACGTCATGACCAAAGTGTAAGATCAAGAGATCTTCTTTAGAATATCCGGATTAGTTAATAACCACTTCAGATGACCCTACTTCATGTAATATAGTCAACCAATCAAAAGCTACCAACGGAAACTGTGACAGCATGGTTTAGCCATAAGATCACCATTTCTTTTTTAACACTTCTTTAAATAATGCGTCCGTACGATAATCTATGTCGTATATGCGATTTAGGGTAATTTATAGACTAAAATCATACCAATTCCGCATTAAAATATAGTTCATATACTTTTACTCGTTAAGCGAAACAAATAACTGCCACAATTTTTATCCAATCGACTTAAACTTTCGATATTATCATTAGAACCAGTTTTTGCCTAAAGACCCCAAGGGAATTTCGCTAGATTAAAAATTTGTTTTATGGTAATTTTGTTATGAAGTTATTGACTAAAAATTTAAATTTTCTATTACTGTTATCAAAAGAACATTATTCCTGAATTTCAATAATATGCATAGTATGCATATCACACTAATTAATCGATATTTTTGGAAAATGTCAGCCATACGAAGTACGGTCCACATATGTAGTATGCGGGGCTTAACCATTTTTTAGAAGCGAGATGGCATTCCTTAGAATAAATGGAATTTAAATTTGGTTTGTATAGTTGGTTTCTGATTTCGCTCATTTTCGCACTGTAACAGAGGATTATCAGGATAATGTTATGTACCGAATTTAATAGGTCAGAGGTAGATAATTTCACCGTTCTGGGAGTCAAATCTAATACCTTTGACACATTTAGTTATTGATTTAATCGCACTTTTAGTAATTTTTAACATAACCGCTCYATGGAGAGTGGGCCATGTTACCATACGATTTCACCTATTATCACATTGTCTTAAGCGCTGACGAAATTATTTATATTGCGAAATTTTTTTTGCAAAACCTGCTAAGCTTACTTCTTAATAATTTTTAAGAACATAAAAAAACTATTATACTCTGTAGCAACCTGTTGCAAGAGGATATGTTTAAATAATGTCTAACCATTTTATGTCCAAAAATTGGAGTTCGTTGATGGGCGTAATCAAAAAAAAGTTTGAAAAAGTGAGTGTGGCCCCGTCCTCTAATTAGTTTAATGTATACAGTGATGTGCGGTGAAATAGAGCCAGTACAATCGAAATTATTTAAATTAACAAATCATATAAAAATTCACTTTTTTCATTTATTCCTTTAATAGGTAAAAAAGAACAACCTATGAGACGTATATTAAAAAAACAAATTAAACAGCCTAAGTCTAAAACATAAACGAAAAAATTCAAAATTCATTGGTATATCTTATTTCGGCTGTGACTTGAAATAGAGCCAAAAGTAATTATTCAATTTCAGTCGTATCTCATGACCGGAAATCAAAAATTTTTATGAAATAATTAAAGAAACGATGCAACTATGTTAAATCTTACTTCAATATTTAGTGCAGTATCCTTTATGTTTTATAACTGCTGAGCAACGTCTGGGCATCGAATCTACTAGATTCTGGCACTTAGCAGCTGGAATTTGCTCCCATGCGTCCCTCACTAGTTTCCAAAGGTCATCTTTATTTGTTGGATTTTTTCCTCTAAGAGCCACTTTAACCTCTCGCCACAAATTTTCAATTGGGGTTAGATCTGGCGACTGTGGCGGCCAGCATAGAACTTGGATGTTATTTTGACTAAACCATTCTTTTGCCCGTTTCGATGTGTGTTTTGGGTTGTCATCTTGCTGGAACACTCATAGAAGTGGCATATTAAACTCTGAGTAAGGCAACATAGTTTCATTCAAAATTCTAGTGTACTGCAAGGCATCCATTGTACCTTCTATCCGAAATAGAGGACCAGTCCCATAATAAGAAAAGCACCCCCATACCATTATACTCCAACCGCCATGCTTTACCGTTTTTACAGTGTATTGAGGGCAGAATTCGGTATTGGGGGGCCTTCGCACAGTAAGGATGCCTCGGTCAGAGTTAAATAAATTCACTTTTGTTTCATCTGATCAAAGAATGTTTCGCCACTTACTCGCTGGCCAATTCACATGATCCTCGGCAAATTTTAATCGTTTTTTTATGTTTGCTTAGAAACGGTACCTTTCGAACTGTTTTAGCCTTTAATCTCTCTTTGATTAACAGTTTTCTAATTGTTGAAGTATCTACATCCAAAGAAAACTTTTTTTTGAGTGCGGAAGAGGTCACAAACGGATCTTTTTTAACGTGACGCAGGATACGCCTTCGCAAACCCTCGTTGATTTTGGGCTTTTTGCCTCTGTTTTCTGAGATATCTTTGTAATTTATGGCGTTTTAAACCATTTTTTTGAGCAGCCAACTAATCCAGCTATTTCTCTTTGACTTTTGCCTTGCTTTCTAAAATTTTTTAAAAATTTTCTGCATTCAGGGCTGCAGTGTATGGCTCTACCCATTTTTAGATCTTAAAAGAATTAAACACACAAATTTACTCCAAATTCAAAAAACTAGAAACCTTTACTCACGTTTGCCTGAAAATTATATTGTATAAATATGTTTTAATGTCACTAAAAGTTTTACTTTATCGGTTGGCTCTATTTTAACGTACACGTTGCTGCACAATTAATAGCACATTTTCACTGATTTGTTAAAAATGAACTCGAAGTTGAATTCAGAAGTAACGGGAAAATATACACAGACAATGTGAGTACTGAACTACAGTTAGTTCATGACATGTTAGATTCTTAAAAAAAAATTTAAGTGCAACAATATCATCAGAAAATGTATGGCTTTATTTCATCGCACATCACTGTATATCTCCTAAACTACTTAAGCTACAACAACCAAATTCGCTCACCGCGTATATTATAAGAATTCCTACCAATATTGTGAAAATGGACGAAGTCGGATKGAAACCCCGTTCACTCTTCATATAACGAAACTGTTAAAATTAAATTTTACCACCGGGATGGTATGAAAAGGCTTTATGAGAGTCGGTGTGAAAATTGGAAGATTGACGTGACACCGCCCACTTTTTGGCGAAATACCATATTTCGAGATCCGACTGACCGATTTCTACAAAATTTGGTATGTTGCATTTTTTTCATATTTCTATGTAAATGAGCAAAATCGGACAATAATCACACTTATTTCCCATATAGCGCAACTTTAAATTCCACCTAATTCGTTCAGTTTACAGTACACAAGTCAAAAAGCAATTAATATAACGGGATAAAACTTTGCACTAATAATGTCTTTAGTGCGTGTCACCTTATAATAAAAAATTATTAGAACCCCAATGGCCTGTTCAAGCCCCTAGGTACCGAATATTTAGATCTCGGTACCTATAGTTGACTCTTGATCGAAAATGTCGGTCAATGTGTGATATATTATATATAACTGAAATCCTTCTCTTATAATAGTATGTTTATATGCCAAAAACGGGTTGAATCGGACCAATACTTCCCTTAAAATAAAGATTTTCGAACTTCTGGATGACTTTGTAACGCATTTCCCCGGCTTTGATTTCTGCAAGTTGCGAGAGTATACAATGTTCGGTTACACCCCAACTTAGCCCTTCCATACTTCTTTATATTTCCAATATATGGTTGTAGTAAGTTTACATAAGTATGAACACCACCGCAGACCTAACATTTTTTGGGCACACCTCCAGCCGCTGCCATTTTCAACCATCCCCCACACCCAGTAACCTTCCATCCTCCTACCTGAGATGAAAAAAACATATAATTATTTAATATTGTATATTTTTAACCTCACCTTTATTGAATTTCCTCTTCCCGAACTTACTTTTTGCCAGGGCCACCTATTTTACCTACCGCCACCTGCTGTTCCACTTGGTATAAAACTACCGCTTCGCGACAGTATCCGTAGTAGGTTCCCTAAGAATGCTGTTCTTCTTGACTTCTTCTTGCGACTAGTGCGATGCGTAGCTGTATATTAAATAGAAAATTTGGGGCAAAGGTATATTTGCATTTTCTAACCAAGTGCTCTTCGATCGGGATATTACCGAACGCGTTCGGCAAGATCCCTCGCGGCACCTAAACATACCAGCGGTACTATTTTACATGACGGAGAGCTCCATCAGCAGTCTATGCACCCTGCAAATCTTTTGTTTTGCAAAAAGCTACGTAGCTCTCCCTCGACTGGAATGTGTGGCATATTTTGGCAATATTCCACATTTCACAACACGACTATTTGACTGTTCTTGTCGATCTACATATAATTGTAAAGAAGTATTTAAAACATAATTTAAATATTATATTAAGTATTTAATTTAACATACCTTATGAATTAGAAGCCATTTTTTCTAAAATAATTTATTTAATTTTAATRGAAACTCGCTTAAGAACACAGTTTATTTTATAAAAATAATTAAAAAAAGCAACGGTACTTTGCTTTAAAAGTAGCGTTAGTAATATCCGTTAGAGAACCCTCTTTGACATTGCTACTTCGCGTAGGACTCTCTTACCGCTTAAATTTCATATTATTTATTGTTTGTCAATGATTATGTTTCCTGGAATTGGGGTATAATCATTCTCTCTATTTTTTTCTTACTTTGTAAAATAATAGTTTGTCAAAGAAGTCTTGCGGTACTTTTTTTTATTTTATAACGGTTTGATGACTCATGCCGGTCTCTTTCGACCAATTCAGCGATTTTATCGTAATTTTCGACGACAGGCCTTCCGGAGCGTGGCGCATCTTCGACCACCTCTACACCAGAACGAAAACGTTGAAACCATCGTTGTGCGGTGGACATGGAAACTGTATCGGGTCCATAAACTGCACAAATTTTATTGGCGGATTGAGATGCATTTTTGCCGTTATCATCKTAGTAGTACTGTAAAATATGCCGTATTTTCTCTTTATTTTGCTTCATGTTTGCGATGCTATAACTCACGAACGACTTAAAAGAAACGACAATCAATCAAACACGTGTTAGCCCGATCTGACGAATAAAACTAGAACTACGTAGTATCACTGATTATTTGACAGTTCGTAACTCATTTGTTATTTTTAAATAAAGAGAATTCAACAATAAATTAAATGTATAATAAAAGCTATTTTTGGACTATTTTATATAAAACGGGTGTCAGTGAACATTTTATACTCTCGCATGACAAGTTTCATCAAGATATCTCAATTYTTACTCAAGTTACAGCTTGCACGGCCGGATAGACAGACATCCGGATTGCAACTCTACTCGTCAACCTGATCACTTTTGTATACTACCGTATATCTGATGATACATACCGTTATTAGCAACTTTATTGCGAGATTGTGAGGTTCGCGTTATGGAATTACATGAAAATATCTGAGAGATTTACCGATATCTTCGGTGAATAATTAGGTTAGGTTAGGTTAGGCACTGAGTTCTTCGTGTTTGATATCAGGGCCCTTAAAAAGTTATAGTCCGATCACGACAATTTTTCCACAAGGGATACCTCAGCTCAAATACCGTATTTGTATAAAGTTTTATTCCGCTATCATCATTGGTTCCTAATGTATATATTATACAGAGAAGGCATCAGATGGAATTCAAAATAGCTTTATATTGGAAGAAGGCGTGGTTGTGAACCGATTTCATCCATATTACGTCCAT